GGGGCGTGAAGGGGGCCGGAGGCAGCTGGGCGACGGGGCCTCGGACCTCTGATGAGGACCGGCTTTTCTTTTTTAAAACGTGCAGATGGTGTGGATTCTGTTTTTTTGCCGGTAGCTTTGTATCTGTTACGAGTGTACTTGTCTACAGGTAACAGAATAATGTAATCTGAGTGACTCACACAAATAGGAGTTGATTTTTCTCAGTAACAGGTGTCAGATGGTGGGCCTCGGGCACCGATCCAGTGTGGACGAGCAAGCCCAGCCTCTGACCCGACCCTTCCCTGGTCCTTGTCCTAGCAGGGCAGCTCCTGCAACCACGAGGGGGTGGGGCAGGAAGCAGAGGCGCTGAGCAAGTCTGTCCCTCTCCTGGGGAGGCAGAGCCCCACCCGCTTCCTCCCAGGCCTCATTGGTCATTTTCTTGGTCACCAGGTACCTCCCCGGTTGCAAAGGAGGCTGGGAAGGCCGGGACAGGACTGGCTGTACCAGGGTTTCCCAGTCCTGGCACGAGCGACATTGGGCCTGCCCTGTGCACCTTGGGATGCTTCCCAGCCTCCCCCAGGCCAGGCTGAGGGGCTCCCCTAGTGTGACAGCCAGCGTGCCTGCAGACCTTGCCCCAGGGCCTCGCCTCCAGCAGAGAAACCCGCTCAGCCCACTCAGGATGTATCGCCTGGGCTGGGCCATCACAGCCCTGAACAGACTGGGCTTTGTTAGCAGTGGGAGGGGAGGGCCAGTGTCTCGCAGGGTCCCCTGTGGGGACTGGACGGGTGCTGTGCTCTCGGGACAGGACCGTTCCTCCCCTCCGCCTCCCAGCAGCCTCCCTGTCACACACAGAAACCGAGGTTTGGAGAAGTTCAGGGGGTTCGCCTGGAGTCACTCAGCTACCAGTGGCAGGGCCGGGCTTAGAGCGAGCCTGTGACCGGCACCCCCTGCTCCTGACCACAGGGCGAGGCAGGCAGCACCACCTGGTCCCACCTGGTCGGACCCGCCCCAGGCCGCCAGGATCTGTCTTGCTGGGTCACCCAGGGTTCTGGCACATCTGTCGTTTGCCCTGGCACCAGTTTTGCTGGCCCGGAAACAGCACGCTGTGAACTCACACCGAGGACAGGACTCTGGTTTCTGCTGTGGGTCCCACGTGGGGCTGGCAAGGTGGAGCCTGGTTCCTGCCTGGAAGGAGGGAGGCCAGAAACCTGGGCGGTGCGGCGTGCTGATGTCTGTGCCGTCTCTGCGCCAGTGTCCGCCAGGAGTGCCGCTGGGCTTCCAGTCCCAGCCTCGCCACCTCCCAGCTGCGACCTGGGGAAAGGCAGCTCACCGAGCCTCATTTCCTAATCTGAGAAGCGGGCCTCGTGGTCCCTGCCTCAGGGGACCCTGAGGTCCGGTGGGGGCAGCGGCCGTGGCACAGGCAGCCGACCTGCTCTGTGGAGTGGAGGGGGAGCCACAGAAGGCCATTTCCTGGGCAGTCTGGGCCCTGGCAGCCTAATTTCCAGCCCTGAGGCTCTGGTAGGGCCCCCGGGGTAGGAACAGGACAGTGCGTCTCCCCATCTGGAGGGAGAGGAGTGCCGTCTGCCGGCCCCGAGCGCCTGGCACTGTGTTCCAGGCCGGGGCCATCAGTGCTTCCGAAGAGAAGGGCAGCAGGTGGCCCGCCAGCCGCTGTCTCACGTCTACAGGCACCTCCGGGGCAGGAAGCAGCATCTCCCACTCCTGCTTCACGCTGTCTGAACAGAGCCTGTCAGGGTGTTGGAAAGGGGCTGCCTCCCTGGGTTCGCCCAAGGCTGGCAGGAGCCTCTCCCACCCCCAGGCACAGCGATCGATGGGTTCAGAAGAACCGCATTCTCAGGGCTTTTGCCGGGATGCTGTGGAGGAGGACCTATGAACCAGGAGGTTCTGTTTGATTCCTGGTCAGGCATCATGCCCAGGCTTGGGCATGCAGGAGGCAGTCGATCAAGGATTCTCTCTCATCGGTGGTCTTTCTCTTTCTCCCTCTCCCTTCCTCTCTAAAATCAATAAAAATTAAAAAAAGAGGAGGAGCTTCCGGCTGTGGCTGCTGAGCTGAGGGATGGAGCCTGGGAGGGCGGGGAGAGTGGCAGGTGGAGAGAACCTGTGTGAGAGGGATGTCCACACAGAAGGACGTAAAGCCAGCAGCTGGAGAAGCCACCAGATCTGGGTGAGCCCCTGGGCTTTTATTACAAGAGCCCATGTGTCCCCCTCCCCTCTTCTTTGTTAATCCTCACCCGAGGATATTTGTTCCATTGAGTTTTAGGGAGAGGGAGAAAGAGAGAGAAACATCGATGTGAGAAAGACACATCGATTGGCTGCCTCACACACGTGCCCGGCGGGTTGGGGATCAAGCCTGCAACCAAGATGCGTGCCTTTGACTGGAATCGAACCCGGGAACCTTCAGTCTGTGGGCCGATGCTCCAACCACTGATCCACACCAGCCATGGCCCATGCGTTAAATCAGTTCAGATGAACTTGTGGCCAAAGGAGCTAAATACGTGTTGCTCTACGTGCCCCACAGCAGCAGATGAGACAATAAGCATGAAAGCCCTCAGGCCCTGCCATGCCCACTGGCAGCAAGAGGATGAGGCTGGGTCTTCCTTCCTCGCTTACTAGAATAATAGCCATCCTGGGTACCTTTCTTTACCCCTCTGAGTCTCAGTTTATTTACCTGGAAGATGAGAATTAAATGAGATGAGACTTAGAAAGTTCTTGGCCTGGCGCCTGGCATGTGGTAAGAGCTTGATACAATACAACCACTGCTTGATAGCGAATGACAGTAGCGAGTGTGGTGACAGCAACCACTATGCCAATAGTGTAAGTAGTCATAGCAGCAAACATGGCAATTACTAAGAGCTGCGACTCCAGCCTGCAGACGCCAGGCTTTCCCCAGGCCCTCCCTCCGCCAGCCCCGGCAGTGCTGCCCGGCCAGAGAGGCTCCGAGGTGCCACCTGGGATCCTGAATCGGAGGCCAAGGCCCCAGGTGTTAGGCCAGCAGCGGGGCCGGGCCCTGGGCGCCAGACTGTAGCCAGCGCACCTCCCCGCGGCAGCGGTCACAGGCCGGCAGCGCCAGCCATCGCTCCTGCCAGACCCATTCTCCTTCCGTAACAGCTCCCTGACCTCTGTGTGGGGAGCCGCAAAGGTTGCCATATTTAGCAATCAAAACTACAGGATGTGAGCAGTTAAATTTGAATTTCAGGAAAACCAGTGAGTAATTAGTATAATATATCCCAAATATTAAATAGACATATTTCTACTAAAAAATGAACTCGTGGTTTACCTGACATTCGTATTTCACTTGGCTGCCTGTATTTTATCCGAACCCGTGACTCCCTGGGGCCAGCGGGCCTCAGGTGTGGGCAGGTCTGAGCGATTCAAGCAGCCTCTGCAGCTGGCCGCACCGGTGGCCAAAGGCAGGCATGTGACCAGCGGCGGCCACTGGGGAGAAGGCGCTCTCCCAGCTGCTGGCGCCCTTGGCGTGGCCTGTGGGCTGCACTGTGAGCACAGCCTCCGGAAAGCAGAGACCGGGCAGTCTCTGGAGCTGCTGGAGCCGAGCCAGCCGCGTGGTCCCCTCCCCTGCTCTGTCCTTATAACCCACGCGATGACTTGGGTGGTATTAAAGAAGTCCCCAGGCCGCTGCTTCGGGGACAGCTGGAAAGGGACTTCAAAGGCCACCTGCTTGGGGCCTCTCCTTGGCCAGGCCCTGCTCTCCGGCCGCAGAATGTCCTTCTGCCCCCGAGATGTGTCCGATACTTCCACTGCCCCATCCGACGAAGAACACGGCTCCACGCGGTGTTTTCTACTTTTATTTTCTAGAATAAAACACGTGCCACCTGGCAGCCAGCCCCGCCCCCGCCTGATGCTCTCCTGCTCTGCACAGCCATTGCCCTCACCGATCCCACCCCGGAGGCCAGCCACCGGGAAGGAAAGGCCGCAGGTTCTGGGGGTGGCCCGGCTCTGGAGCGGATGCCGACTGGCTGGAGGGAAGCGGCCGGCCCCCAGGGAAGGTGTCCTCGGGTCTCTGGAGCCTGGTTCGAGGTTGGGGATGGGCAGAAACCAACCGAGCACACAATTCCCCACTCCCGACAGCACCGCGAGCCTACGCACCCTCGGCCTGGGGCTGGGACTGCTGGCCTCTCTGCAAGAGACAGACTCGACTGGACACCTGTCAGCCCTTTGGAGAGGGCACGACGGAATGAGGCCTTGGGCCCTGGTCTCGGCTCCTCAGGTCCGAGTTCTTGGGCTGCCCAGGGTGGGCAAGGGCAGGGGCAGGAGCAGGGGCAGGGGCAGGGGCAGGGGCAGGGGCAAGGCCTAGATGGCATCACCCTCACTGTCAGACTCAATGACGTCCAGTGGCTGCAGACGCAGGGAGTCATAGTTGGGGGGCGGGGTGCCCGGGATGGGCAGGGTCTGCTCATCGGGGTAGGCCTCAGGGTTGGCCGTGTCAGGCTGGAAGGCAAAGTTGGTGTGAGCCTCCACCAGCTCGGCCACGGTGGGCGGGGGGCCGGCGTAGCGCGCCTGGGCCCGCCTCTGCCGCAGGCTCTTGGAGAAGGCCACCAGCCTGATGACGGTGATCCACAGGAAGTCGATGACGATCTCCGCGAACTCGATGAGGCACAGCACCGAGCCCCCCATCCAGAAGCCAAACTGGCCGCCCAGATTCGAGAGCAGCCAGACGATCTGTGGGGGGCAGGGGGCTGAGAGCCTGGCGGAGGTGGGGGCAGGCCACAAGGCCCTGCCTGGACCCCAGCCTCCTGGGTCCTGTGAGCTGGGCGGTGACTGGGAAGGGGCAGGGGGACCATCTCAGCCCAGGGAAACAAGTGCTTAGAGACCTTCCTTCCTAACGCCTCTGTGGGCAGGGGACCCTCCTGACCCGCAGGGTGCAGGGCAGAGGGGTCAGGAGCCCAAACTCACGTTATTAGCTGCTGACTCCTCAATGGTACGATAGTTGAATTCTTGGAAGTAGATGTTGAGTTTGACAATTCCCTTCCTGCAGGAGGCAACAGGGACTGGTGCCCTTTCCCGGACACACACACACACACACACACACACACACACACCTGCCCAGCCCTCCTCTGCTTGAGCTTGGCACAGGCCAGTCCCATGAGTGGCCCCTCTGAGCCTGAGTCACAAAAGGCATCTCTGCCCAGCGCCCATCCTGTGGGCCCATTTCTGAACCAGCTTCCTAAGGAATACTCTGGCCCAAGATAGCCCCTGAGAGCTCCCCTCTCCCACCCCCAGGGCGGCCCAGCCCACATACAGGAGACGCTGCAGAGAGTCCGCCCTAACCCTTGCCCCTGTTAGGAAACCTGGGGCAGAGAAGGGTGGCCAAGTGGGCTGCGCCCTTACACCCGGTGGCCCTCGGAAAGGCTGAACTTGGTGGCCCACGTCCAGGCTTTACTTTTCTGAACAATTCTTACTCCTCCTTGGAGGGTTAGCTCCAGCACCACCCCCTATACAGACCTCCCTTATCTCTCCTGGCAGATGGAGGCTCCTTCCCACTGTGCTCCCACAGGGAGAAGCTCTGCTCGCATCAGTCTGTCCTCTAGATTCAGGTTTCCTGATATATGCACCTCGTGTCTTTTCTGTGCTCAATGCATGTTTGTGTTGTATGAATGGAAAGATGGGTGGATGGCTGGAGGATGGGTGAGTGGAATAATGGAAGGATGGATGATGGATGATGGATGGATGGGAGGATGGATGGAAGGATGAATGGATGGATGGATTGGTGGATGGGTAGAAGACTGGAAGGTTGATGGATGGATGGATGGATGGATGGATGGATGGATGGATGGATGGATGGATGGATGGATGGATGGATGGATGGATGGATGGATGGATGGATGGATGGATGGATGGATGGATGGATGGATGGATGGATGGATGGATGGATGGATGGATGGATGGATGGATGGATGGATGGATGGATGGATGGATGGATGGATGGATGGATGGATGGATGGATGGATGGATGGATGGATGGATGGATGGATGGATGGATGGATGGATGGATGGATGGATGGATGGATGGATGGATGGATGGATGGATGGATGGAAGGATGGATGGATGGATGGATGGATGGATGCATGGATGGATGGAAGGATGGATGCATGGATGGATGGGTAGAAGACTGGAAGGATGGAGGGTGGATGGATGGATGGATGCGTGGATGGGTGTATGAACAGGTGGCAGGAGGAACAGGCTCTCCTTTGGGAGTGGTCCACTCTGAGGCCCCTTGGGTGGCTCTCTCACTCCCAATGCTGCCTCCTCCAGGCTTACTCCCAGGTCTGAGCAGTGTGAGAAGGGATCTGAGGAGCTGCCCTGTGTCCAGACCCCTCTCCTGAGGCCCTTTTCTGCCTCCCCAGCCCTGCCCATACGCCAGGCTTACCTGCTCAAGGTGATATTGGTACTTTGGTCCCGCTCCTGAGACAAGACATGGAAAATCCAGTCCTGCAACCCAAGGAAGCAGCTGAAAAAAATGGGGCCTGCAGCACTCCCTCCCAACGAGGGGCCCTGCTTCCTGTGTGTGTGTGGGGGCACCGCTGCACCTGCTGAAGCTCCCTGGGGACATGCGTTGGTCGGGGAGAGCGGGGAGGGAGGGAATAGTGCGCGATGTGGCTGCTGTTGTGGGGAGGAGGCACTCAGGTCTCCAGACTCTTCCCCCAGAGACTCAGCCATCCTCTGCCGGCCTTGCCCACCTCTGGCCCCGGCACTTGCTGCCCCTCTGCCCAGTCCTGCTCCCCGGCCCTGCCCACTGCCAGGTCCTGCTCCCCGGCCCTGCCCACGGCTGGCTCAGCTTCATCCTCTGCTCCATCACCTTTTTAGGGAGCCCTTCCCTGACCGCCATCTAAAGAGGCTTTCCCCATCTCTCTCTCATCATCCGGCTTCCTGGCTACAATCACCCTACTCTGCATGGTCTTATTTCTGTGGGCTGACCCTTTGGCCAGAATGCAAGCACTGCAAGGACACAGGACTCTGTCGTGGCTCACTGCACAGTGGCTGGGAGTGGAAGAAAGGGGGGGAGCGGGGAAGAGGCTCCCTCTCCAAAGCTCCAAGCAGCCTGCAGGCCCCACCCTCTCACCTCAGAGGCCTCAGAAGGCCAGTCGGCCATGGAGATGGTCATCTTGTACTGGGTGTCACTGGAAGAGAGAAGGCATTCCCGTGGCTGTCCCGCCCCGCAGCACCCGCACTGCCCTGCCCGCCCGGACGCGCCTGCACCGCACTCACTTGCAGGACTCCTTGCACATCCGGATGCAGGTCTCCCTCTGGCCCAGGCTCTGGCGCAGCTGCGAGTAGCAGTAGACTGAACAGGGAGAGGGCAGACTCTGAGTGGCCTTCCCGCTGCTCTCCTCTCCCCTGGGAGCCCCGGGCTGCCCTCTATCCTCCGGGCCCTGGGCCTAAGGTCTGGGACTGGTTGGGGGGCTCTCCTCAGGGAGCAGGGGCAGGGCAGCTCCCTCTGCGGTCACCTCACTCCCGTGGGGCCAGGGTGCAGGGCTGTGTAGAGGGACACAAGTCTCCCTGCTTGTTCCCACACTGCATTGGCTTTAAGAGGTGGTGGGACTCTGCCTGCCGTCGGCTCCCCCTTTGGTGTTGGGACCCTGGGCCGTAAGGATCCAGCTCAGGGCTGGGCCCCTCCTCTCTTGTGGCCTCAGCTTTCAGACCTGGGAGGCCCCCCTCCCCCTCGCCCGCACCCCACAGAGAGCCCAGGAGAGCTGCCCTGACAGGACAGTGCTGAGGCTGGCGCACGTGGAGGCAGGAACCAGTGCGCTAGCACAGACCCTGAGCGCAGGCTGCGGTGCCAACACGCTGGCTGCTGGCACCACAGGACACAACACACCACTGCCCTTCACACGAATGGGGCACACGAATAGCACACGTGTGCATGCGCCACAGTGGCACGCCAGGCTCACACGTGTGAGGGTGTGTATGTGGCACAGACAGCGCACAGACGGTGTCGCTCCCGACACAGGTGCGGAGGGGAGCGGTGGCCCAGGAGGGGTGCCGGGCAGGGGCTGAGCAAGCCGGGTACACCGGGTCCTGCTGAGGGCATGGACCTGCGCCTCCCTGGCATCAGAGCCTTTGTGGACAGGGCCCGGCGGGCTCGGTGCCCATGGCTGGGCCCACTCACCCCAGTCTGGGAACTCCTGGTTGTTGCAGTACTTCTGCCCCCGGGGCAGGGGGTACAGGTAGTGGCCGCAGCTGCAGTTCTGGATCATGTGGTCTTGGAAGCATGAGCGAATACAGGCCTGGGGAGGGGACAGGAGGCTGCGATGACCAGTGGTGTCCCCACCGCAGCCCGCAGGACGGGCCCAGGGAGCTGGGAGTCAGGGGAGGCGTCCCCCCTGCGAAGTGGTGGTGAGGTGGCCGAGCTGCAGAGGGATGGGGCCACTCCCCGAGGTGCTGGGCCCTGAGCACAGGGGACCGGCGGCTGCTCCACATGCGGACGCTGACACTTGGCTGCAGCTCTTGTTACAGGCCCAGCGGCCTTCCGAGCCCTTTACACAGGCGGCCCAGGAGCAGGAGCAGCTCTGAGGGGACGGCGGGCTGCCTCCTGCGCCGTCTCCTGGGGGACCGCTCAGGGGCGGCCAGCTGGGAGGGCGGGGAGCCTGGGCTGCCACGCCGGGCAGGATGTGAAGACTCTCCGGGGTCGGCGCATTCCACCCACTGGCATCCCCTCAGACCCGCTGTGTCTGCAGCAGCGATTCCCGCCCTCGGAGCCTCGGTTTACTCGTGGGTGAAGCAGGGTGGCAGTCACCTGTGGGCTGAGGGGGAGGGCCGGGCCTGGCCTGGTCCCTGGTCTGGACCAGGAAATGGGGGCAGGCGGCGGAGCAGCCTGGGGGAGGGGCAGGGTGACGGGGGCTCTGGCTTTGGGAAGCAGGTGGTGTCTCCAGCCCCATGATGGAGCTGGGGTTGGCACAGGTGCCCGGGGTCTTTGCCAGGGTCTCTGGCCAGAGGTGCTATTGCATTGAAAGGAGCAAGAGGTTTCCTGGAAAGAGGTCTGGTGGGCGGAGCTAATGCCTCCGTGGCCTCCTACACTCTCCCTGTCTCCCGGGGGCTGCCCCTGCTGAGGGGACCAAGCCTGCTGGGCCGAGTGTGGGGTGGAGGGGGCCAGCTGCACGGGTGGGCGGGCAGGTGGCCACGGGGGAGGTCAGCTTCCTGTGACCACGCCAAAGGGAAGACCACCCCTGCTTGGAGCGCTCGGACATGGAGGCGGCACTGGGCTTCCCCCTTGCTGTGCCTCAGTTTCCTTATCTGCCAGGCAGACTGGGCAGGGAGAGGAAGTGTCGGCCAGTGGTTACTTTTGTCACCTTTGCAAAGATTGAGTCTGCCCACTTCACTGGGACGGGCTGGGGCTGGCCTCCCGGGCTGCAGCAAGGGGGTTTAGGCCAGAGGCAGAGAGGGGCTCGCCCGGTAAACCGACGAGGCGTGGACTCACTCCAGCCTGAGGCTCTTAATAATCGCCGCTGCACTGGGGTTGTTGGGTGGAGTAAGTGATCGAACATGGGAAGTACTTGGCAGAGTGTCGCCTAGCACACGATCAGCCTGCTATTAGCACTTAATTCACACTGATAATAACTAAATAGCATATATAATAATTAACAACTGCTGTTAGTGTATTATTCCCTCGTGGGGTGTTGAAAGAATCAAACGATGACGTAACACATGCAAAACCTTAGCTCATACACACACGGGTTCTGCGTAGGGCCCCAGAGAGAGACCCTTACAACCCAGGGCATCCCCACGGGCACCCTGCCTGCCGAGGGGGATGGCAGGCGGGCAACCCCGGGCCCTGGTGAGAACCCGGGGACTGGACAGGCTCTACAGCCCCAAGTATCACTACATCCACGGAGACCCCCCCACCCTGCCACAAACCCCAGCACAGTCGGCCCTGCCAGCCCTGCCAGCCCAGCGATCCCAGAGCCTTAGGCCTCGGGCCGGGCGACCGGACGGCCCAGGGCCAGGAGGCAGTGCCGCCGCTACCTGGATGGAGTAGGTGGTGTTGTGGTCACTGTAGAGGTTGCGGATGGGGACGTCGGAGCCGTTCACTGTGCACTGGCTGTAGGGCTTGCCCTTTCGCTCCAGCTTGTCCTGAGTCAGAGAGGTTGTTCGTGGGGACCCTGGTCAGCCCAGGAGGCCCCCGCACCTGCCTGCCACTCAGCAGGTGGCTCTCAGGCTCTGCAAGGGGTTGGAGAGCAGTGGCCCAGCAGCTGCCAGCGGTGCTGTCTTCCCCAGAGCGCGGCTGCCCTGGGGCCGAGCTGAGGGCAAGCAGGGGGGACCGCAAGGGAAGGCCGGACTGGAAGAGGCCCCAGGAGTGGGGGCCTAGGCGGGCGGGCTGCCACCCTCACCCCTCAGGCGCCCCTGGGGCCGCGGCCGTACCACCAGCACCCCGATGGATGTCTCCGTCCCCGACATGGCGTAGATGCCCTCCTCTTTGACGAAGGGGTACGACCGCTGCTCGTGGAGCAGCAGCCGGGCGCCGGCCGTGGATGTGAGGAAGGGCACATAGTCCTCCTGGCCCAGGTCCAGGATCAGCTTCAGGCCTGTGGGGGGAGGGGCCGAGGGCTGCTGCAGGGAGCCCGCCACCCACATGTCCATGCCCCCCAGCAAGGGGGCCTCCCTGGCCTGCCCAGGAGGCCGGCTCCGCTTTGTGAAAGTCCAGCCTCCTGTCTTCTCTAGGCCCATCCTAGTCCCCGCCGCCGTTCTCTCCTCCTGGGCTCCTCTTGCTCCCCCACCCACATGGCAGGCCGACCAAGGGCACCGCGGCTCCACCTCGCCACCCACATGTCCATGCCCCCCAGCAAGGGGGCCTCCCTGGCCTGCCCAGGAGGCCGGCTCCGCTTTGTGAAAGTCCAGCCTCCTGTCTTCTCTAGGCCCATCCTAGTCCCCGCCGCCGTTCTCTCCTCCTGGGCTCCTCTTGCTCCCCCACCCACATGGCAGGCCGACCAAGGGCACCGCGGCTCCACCTCGCCTCACAGTCAGCCCGGCTCAGCCCCGTGCTCCT